CTCCTGATCCCTCCTCGTTTGTGAATCTCCTGCTCCTTGATCCCTGCTGGGATCCCTCCTTGTTTACACACTCAGGTGCTTCCTGCTCCTCTCCCCAGAGCCCACTTTGCTCCTCTCCTGGCAGTAGCAGCAGAGCACCAGGGATGCCCAGAATGTCTTTTTTTTTCCTTCCCTTTTTTTTTTTCGTTTTCTTTCTCTTTTGTTCCTTTCCTTTCGAGTCCAGCGCCTGCTCTGGCTCTTGTCCCTCTCCACTGAGGTCAGGTGTGAAAATCTTAGCAGCATCAGTTTGTGGACAAGCTTAGCCTGGTCAAGTGGGCTAAAAGGTTTAAAAAAAAAATAAAATCTAGGCTCAAAAACTAGTGAGAAATGCTAATAGCACAGATGGCCTCTAACAGGACCAGAGGTAAGTAAACACGACAGACTCCTTGAAACAGTGATGTACCTCACGTGCTGTTAATTTGTACAACTCCACCGATCTAAAAAGCCCTAGGAAGGCCCAAAAATAATAATAATAAAAAAAAAAATAATCAAACCAAAACCGAAATTCCATCCATGATGCCTGACCATTAAATAAAACCAAACAACTTGCTTTTTTTTTTTTTTTTTTTTCCTTTCCTTTTTCCTCCTCCATCCTCAACACTCTTCTTCCCCATCAGCTATCCGTGTTTTTCTCGGCCTCTTTGGAATGGATGATGTACATGAAAGTCTGCTCGATGGTGAAGTCGGGCGGGAGGCTGCCCTTGTGCACCCCTATGTGCTTGCTCATCAGGTTGAGCGTGGAGCTGTAGTGGCCACACACCGTGCAGCGATACATCAGGGCCCCCGAGTGCGTCCTCAGGTGACACTTGATGGTGGAACGCCCTCGGAAGAACTTGTGGCACACCTTGCACTGGTAGGGCTTCTCCCCGGTGTGGATGCGCCGGTGGTAGTTGAACTCGCTGGTGTGGGCAAACCTCTTGCCGCAAACCTTGCAGCTGTACTTGCTGTTCCCTGGCTGGTTCTGCAGAGCCAGATCCTCGCTCAAAAACTCCTCGGGCAGCTTCCTCTTGGGCAGCCCCTGCGGCTGCAGGCGCTCCCCAAACCCTGCCCTGATGTCCAGGCTGCCCCCACATTTGTGCTGGCTGACGTGGTAGCGGTAAGCGGCCTCCAGCTTGAAGCTCTGGCTGCAGAAGTGGCACTGGAAAAGAGCCTCCTCCACGTGCTGGTGCACGGCCAGGTGCTTCTCCAGGAGCTGCCTGTCCACAAAGCTGCTGGCACACACTGAGCAGGAGAAGACAGAGATGCCCAGGTGGGACAGGGCGTGCCAGAGCAGGCTGCAGAGGCTCAGGTGCCGCTGGTCGCACACGCCGCACGTTTGGCTCTTCAGGTTCACGTGCTCCAGCAGGTGGTTCCGCACCGTGTGGAAATCTTTGGCCAAGGGCTTCCCACAGGCAGCACAGGCCAGCTCAGGGCCGGGCCCTCCCCCAAAAACAGCCACTTTCCCCGGGAGGGGGTCGCTGGGGTGGACAATGACGTTGTTGTCGAAGACCCCGTCCCGCCGGTGCAGCGTCAGCTGCCACTGGGTGAAGAACTTGGTCTCGCACATGTCGCAGGAGAAGAGGAAGATGCCAATGTGGGACAGCACGTGGGTCACCCTGGAGTTACGGTCCTGGAAGTGGGTCTCACACACCTTGCAGTTCCCCGTGAGCAGGTCCACGTGGTCCCTGGCGTGCTGGCGGATCAGCTGGATGTTGGGTTCCAGAACCTTCTTGCACACCTGGCAGGGCATGGCCTTGCTGTCCCGGCTGTCGCTCTCAAAGGCCAGCTCCTCCTCGCTGTCATCACTGAGCTCAATCACCTCCTCAGATGGCACCAGCTCTTCTCCAGCATCCTCAAAATGCAGCTCGGCCTCCCCCAAATCCTCCAGCTGGAGCTCATCCATCTGCTCGAATCCCTGCTCTTTGGAGTGGTCGCTGTTGCTGGGGCAGGAATTGCTCCCCGTGGAGACATCCAGGGAGGGCTCAGTGGGGAAGAAGCCACCCTTGCTGTAGTCACCATTGCTCTGGGCCTTGAACTGAGGGCAGGAGCTGCCAGTGGTTTGTGCCACGTTATTCCCACCAGGCTGAGCCCCCAGAGCCGTGACTGGAGTGAACTGTCCTGCATCAGACTCCTGCTCTGTCTTGGGAGGCTGCTGTGGGTGCATCAGGGGAAGGGCCTGGCTGGCCTCACCCACAGCACTCCTCTCATCCTCTTTGTAGCTTCCCACCACGTCCCCGTGCAGGAGATAATTCCGCTCGGGGCCGAAATGCTCCACGCCACCCCTGATGTCCCCCAAAGGGTGGCTCTGCTCCGAGGAGGTGCTGCTCAGCACCCCAGCCCTGCCTTCCCCCGCTGACAGAGCAGGCTGCTTGGTGATGGCCGAGCTCTCCAGGTCAGGGAAGGTGGAGTGACAAGCCTGCAGCAGATCCTCCATGCCCAACCTCTCGGCCACCTCGTAGATCACCCCCACGTTGATGAGGTCGGTGAAGAGCTCCGAGGTGTACACAAAGCTCAGGATCTTCTCAAAGTTGGCTGGCGTGATGAAATCCACCACGTAGGTCCTGGCAGCGTCCAGCCCGGTGTTGAGGAAGAGGTTCTGGAAGTAGCCAGCAGCACAGGCCAGCACGGCCTTGTGGGCAGCGAAGGAGCGGGAGCCCACCAGGATGGTGACGTCGCACATGGTCTCGGAGAGGCGGCACTTGTTGAGTTCCTTCAGCAGGTTGTTGGGGTGGTTGGTGCTGTGCAGCTTGATCCTCATGCCCATCTTAGCAGCTGCTTCAAGAGCCCTTTCTGCTGGTCAGCTCGGCCTTCACGCTTTCATCCGCGGCGGGAGCAGCAATTGGCAGGGCAAGGGGCTCTGCAGAGGGGAAATGTTAAAAAAATGTTATTTAACAATCAAAGCAACGCCATTCTGGTCATTTTGCACCCTTCTGAGGAGCCATGGAGCAGCTGCTCAGCTGGAGACGGATTAACCCTGTCCTGTCACCTCAGTTTTGGGGAAGTAAAAGGCTGAATGTGCAAAGCAGCAAAGTCAAAATAAAAAGACTCTCAGAGGCAGCCTGAAGGTCTCACTGCGACAGGGGCAGGGACAGAGATCCCGCTGACCCTGAGACCAAACCTGAGCCTGTTCCTGACATCTCCCTGTTCCTGAGCTGGGGATGGGGCTCCTCTCCAAGGAGATGTCACACACCAGTTGGATTCAACTCCAGGTCTCCTCCAGCTGCAGCCACTTCATTCATTCACTTCAGATTCCACCTGGACCCACAAGGAGACTTCAGGCTCCCAGGTGGGACTCTCTGCATTCCAGCCTCTGGATTCCCCTGGGATGGATTC